ATCTTGCATTTGATGAAACACAAAATCATCCACAAAAATTCAGTCCAATCATGAATGATCTCAATGATAAGCAGCTCCTATTAACTTGAAAGAATGTGATGTGTGGGTGGCAAGCAGACAAAAATAAATGCAATTAACCTAAGGCAATACAGATTCACTCTCTCTCATTAGTCAGCACAGTTGGTTTTGTTGAAAACCTGGAAAGGACACAGTACTGAATGCCACTTTTTATGATTTTCAAGCAAGCATTATAGCTGGGATATTTCAGTTCACTAGATAATCACCACTGCTAGCAAAAGATAAATGTATTCAGAAGTTAATATGGTGTAGGCTATTCTGAGGGAATTGCTTTTTTAAAGAGGAATTCATAATATCCCCCTGTTTTACCCGAATCACTGCCCATGGGCACAACGTCTCTCCTGCGGCCCACAGGGATTACTGCAATTCCTTTGTAAGCTTCCAGAATAGGGAATGTACTGCAATTCCCTCTCCGGCTATCAAGTGGTTTTACTGAGTTTTTTTGTGCAAGAGCTTGCGAAGCCAACAGTCAATACGGGAGGTTATGTTGAAATGGGGCACTTAAAGGCCAGTTTTTCCTAACAAGGGGCACACACTGCATTTACCAAAATTTCAAATGCCTTGTATCTGTGCTTGAATGGTCATAATCTTAAAAAAAAAAAAAAAGAAAAAAGAAAAAAAATCTATGTATAGTGTAACCTGGTTTTCTTAGCTCTGAGACCAGCTGCACAGTCAGGGCACATACGTGTATTTGAGCAGATGAGCAGGATTTGTGGGAACGCTCTTTGTGGGTGGCAGGAAAAAAACAATTTGGGATGATTTATCAGCACTTCTGGAAAAGCGTGGTTGTATAAGAAATGCTTTGCAATGAGAGGAATGCATGAGAAATACTCCAACTTTCTCTGGGTTAATTGCCACTTTGGGTAGATCCACCACATTGTGAGGAAAGAGGCAGTTACGCTTAAGCAAACTCAGCCTCCAAGAGTAGTCCGGCTCTGAAAATCCTCCCAGCTACATCCGAAAAAAACCCCCCAAAAAACCATCATTGCTCTGGCATCCTAAGGCAAGCTCGAGGCTTTAAGGCATAACGCTTCCTTAAGTCTGGAGGATAAATGGCATCTTGCAACATGGCATCAAAAAAATGCAACAAAACCCAACATTAACAGAAAACAAAAGACAGTAATAGAAAAAGAATTTGCCTCTGAATTCCTTCTTTAAGAAGAATTTGTTTGCTAAACAGCATTGCTGAGAGGAAGAAATTACTTTCTTCTCTTTCAAAAGTATTTGAGATTTCAAAGGGTCTGTCCCACTGTGCACCGAAAATAAAAGATGCTTTGCAGCCTTTAGGTTTCTTAGCGATCCGAGGAGACCTCTGAATCCTCTTTCCTGTGTCAGATCTTAGAAACCTCAACAGACCCTGGAGCATCTCCTGCTCTGGTGTGACTTTTCCCAGCTGCCACAGCTCTACTTCACCAATACTAAGGTGAGTTTGCCATTCGCCTGCAGATTTCTATTCCATTGAGCACGATCTTCCACATTCCTTTCCTACACCTGAGCTTTCATATGACCCATGCAATACTTTATTTTCTTGGTCTTCTAAAGGCTTTTAGAGCCGAGAAGCAAATCATGATATTCACAATATGCCTTTCTTACAACATTTTCTTTAAACTGAGACAAAGAGAGGAATTGCTCATAAAAAGGACACTTACAGTCCAAAAATATTCTGTGCCCAGTTCCTCCTGTTCCTGACCATCCTCAAAGGCATCCCTGAACTTTCAGTCCCGGCTCTAAAACAAAGGGTAAATGGTGATTTCGTAGATGCTGATGTTTATTCAAGTCTTCTCCTGCCTCTCCTGGGCTGTGGCAGCAGCCAGCCTGGTGTGTGGGCAGGCAGGAGGACAGGCTGCAAACCTTTCTAAAGGGGGGAGAGGCAGGCAGACCTGTGGGCAGCAACACCCCTGCAAACGCCAGGCACCACCCTCGGTGCCTTCCGTGCTTCAGGAGGGAAAACCTTCTTCCAAAGGTCCAGGCATCCTACATGCTCTCCAGTACTTGTGGTACTCGAGAAAACGAAAGCAAAATCACAAGTTACTGCATCTGCTGACACCTTAATGCTCTATTTGCATTTTTTTCCATTAGGCTTTAGTTGACGTCACACAGATACAAGCTAGATAAAAGGTAACTCTTAAAAAAAAAAAGTTTTTCCAGTCCTAGAGGAGGCAATATAACTTAGAAGGGCCTGTAGAAGTACCAGCATATAGGAATGAAAGTCTAAATTGTGCCCAAGCCTGCTGGGCAAGCTCCTGTCCCCCTCCGCGGTTCGGGGGCGATGAGGGCAGAGCCCCCTCGCCCGCTTGGCCAAGGGCTCCTGCGCTCGCTGGTCTCCACGCAGTCAGATTTGGCACTTGTTGGGAAGGACAGAACCACGGCACTGCCGGCTGGAAACGGCTCAGGCTGGAGGGCAGAGCTCTGAGTATATTAATCCCTTCCATTGACACCAGTGTGTAAATGGAGAATGGTATTTGCACACCCAGGGAAGCAGGATCAGCGCACGCATTTCATTGCTGCCTTTTCACAGCGGCTAGGGGAAATGGCGAACCCTTAGAAGAGATGTGACCTCCTCTTCTGTGGGATATTGCAACACCAAATCTACAACCTACAACACTGCGACGTGATTTTTCACCAGCCTGACGCAAGGATGGGTGAGTGGGAGAGGCAGTGTCCGACCCCCCCCGCAGGCACCCCACGGCAGGCGTTACGCTCCCACCATCGGTGTCGGGCAGAGTACACAGTTTACCCTACACGAGACGTCAGCTCAAGTGCTCTGCAAACAGACTCAAGAGCCTCTTGTCAGTGGTACAGAGACGGTCCCCACTTTCGTAAGCTCCTGTTGTACTAAACAAAGACCGCTGAAGAGCTCACTGAGAATGTCATGAAGTTCAACATGACCAAGGTCAAGGTCCTGCACGTGGGTCAGGGCAATCTCAAGCACAACTGCAGGCTGGGTGGAGAATGGATGGAGAGCAGCCCTGAGGAGAAGGGCTTGGGGGTGTTGGGGGATGAGAAGCTCCACACGACCCAGCAATGTGCGCTGGCAGCCCAGAAAGCCACCCGTGTCCTGGGCTGCGTGTCCAGCAGCGTGAGCAGCAGGCA